CCCCCCCTGTCATTCGCTCTGATATCACCTCAATTTACCAAAAATAAAAAAAAAACAAGTAAATACAGTATCAACCATCAAGGAAAAATAAAAAAGGTCCCACATCCAATCATACCACTATTCACACGCGCATTACTAAGGTTCAAGCTTCAACGAACGAATTCTTTTTTTTGTTGTGTCACCTCAATTTAACTCACTCTGTATTGGCATTGCAACGAAATTTTTCTTTCTTTGCTCTGCAGAGTCTCAATGACACCAGTTTATTATTATTATTATTATTATTATTATTATTATTATTATTATTATTATTATTACTATCAATAACAGTAAGTGGGAAAATCAATATCGCACAAAAAAGAAAACAAAAAAGAATAAAATACGAGAAAAAAAAAAAAGAAAAGAAGAGGAAGGAAGAGAAATCAAAAAAAAGAAAGAAAAAGAACTACAGAAATCACCCTATAAATGTTTCAAGGTAGTTTCTCTTATGATACACAGCAGTAGAGGTGTATCAATTGTTTATATTCCCTTCTTTTCATTTTTCAGCTGTGTATTTCCCTTTTCACCCCAGCAATTCATTAAAATATGGAGATAAACAAACAGTACGCCGCCTGAGATATTACGGAAACTCATCAGAAAAGCTCTTTTCTCTTACAAACTTCTTTTTCTTATATCTCTCTATCTCTTCTTTGTATGTACGTTTGTTAGTTCGTTTTTTTTCTTCTTCTTCTGAGGGAGTAGGGGTTTTTATTACGTGATGATGATGATAATAATGATAATGATGGTAGTGAAGAAGTGGAGGGGGACTGCAATAAAAGTTTCGGTTTCATCATAAGGTAACAAATAAATAATTCTTGTTTTTTTTTCTTTTATTATTATTGAGCGTGCTACACTACCAAAACCACTTTTATTTACCACTTACATATATCCATATAAAACTACAAAATTACACATACATACATCAAAACCACAAAAAGAGAGATCAAATACATTATAAGGAATACAGGTTAAGGTTTGATATAGAGTGATAGAAACCTTATGATAGCAAAGAGATCAAATCATCTACGCTAGGACGCTTGGATGGATCAAATTCACAACAACTGTGAATAGCACTTTCAAGCTCCTTATCCTTCAATCCCGTTGGCAAATCAGGTTTCATATCACCCGTATTTCGTGCAAGTCGGACAATAAAATGTTCATCTGGTTCAATATAATGAGACCAGGGATTGTGTCCTAGTAGCATATGTGCTACTGTTAGTCCAAAACTGTAAACATCTGCCTTTACAGTCCAATTTCCTAATACTGCCTCTGGTGCCATATAACGTGGTGTACCACGTATAGCTGCAACTCTATCTGTCAAACTTCGAGAAAGTCTTACGGTACCAAAATCTCCAAGTTTACATGTCCCTTCTGATGAAAGTAAAACATTATCTGGTTTCACATCACAGTGTACATATTTCATACTGTGAAGAAATTGTAACCCATAGAGAATATCACGACTATATTTTCTAGCAGCTTCCTCTGGAATTTGACCAAGACGAGAAATTAATTTACGCATATTTCCTGCCGCCATGTATTCTGTAAATATAAAGAAGAATCCATCTTGAATAGCACATGTATCATAAGTTAAGATATGATCATGACGAAGTTGAATAAGTGCTTCAACTTCACGAACCAAGGCAGCTCCATTATCATCCTCTAGTGGAAATACTTTTGTGGCAACAAAACTTCCACTGGAAGATATAGCAAGATAAACTTCTCCAAACTGTCCTTTTCCCAATAATTCATCCGTACGGTAAAAAATCTGTTGATTAATATCTTCCACACACCTAGGAAGAGGTGGTCTTGACAAGCTATCCTGTATAACCCTCAAGCCCCGATGTTCTACAGCATCATCGCCCTCTTCTGGTGAATCCTCATCATTCAAAAAGACCGAGATAAGTGCGTCTTCACCTTGTGATATGGCTTTCATCACGACAGTACGTTTACCAGATTGAGAGTGCTCATCAATTTTCTCCTTTGCCCGTTCCACATCACATACACGATGAGACGCACTTCCTCCCACGATCGCGGTACTATTATTATTATTATTATTATTATTATTATTAGTATTATTATTATTACTACCACTGTTATTATTACTACTGTTGTTGTTGCTGTTGGAGTAGGTATTGCTAATAGAGCGCTGGAGCCATGCCTCGCCTTCGAGTGGTGTCCAGTAAAGGGCCCGTCGGAAGTATCCGCTGTCAATGAGCGCGGCGTTGCGGGAGCACAACTCGTAGAGACGTCTGGCCCGCCACGGCACCTCCGCCCGGGTTGGGAAGCGCCGCATAAAGTCAGCGACCGCCTGGAGGGCCCGCTCCTGCTGGCGGGCGAGAATGAGATGGAAGACTTCCTTCGTGAGGCTCTGCTCGGGCGAGAGGGGCTGGTGGTGGAGGGAGACCACTTCCAGCACGAGATGCCGGGTCATCGCATGGCAGCGCGGGGAGTACACCTCCACATTATCCACCGGCACCACCACCACCCCAGAGGCGTGGGCCACCTGCTGAGTGACGAGGATTGTGACGCCAAGATAGGGATTGAGCGTTACGAGTTGTTTGGCAAAGTCTACACTATCTCCAGCCACCACCCGGGCCTTTTGTTCATCCGTACCAACTGTACATACATAATTTGATCCTGATGCAATGGCAATAGCTACACGAAGTTCAGCTTTTTGACAATCTTCTTGAATGGCTATAGCACATTGACATGCCTTTTGTTGATGACGTATAACTGGTATATGGAAATTAAAAGTAGCAATCACTTGATCAGTTCCAATATGATCTGCAACACCTCCATTTCCTCTTACATGTTGTAAAACAAAAGCTAAAAAGTGATCAATTAGGGAAACAGATCCAGATTCCTCTATTATACAATCTAATAACTGTATAACTATTACTGTACCCTTTACACTTTTTAACCTTTTTAATGGACAGCCACCGGTTGCGAGGTAAACAGAATCTTCATTCACTTCATTATGATATCCAGTATTTCTGTCAATTAAACCTAATTGTGGTGATGGTAAAAGTGCACCTCCTGAAATACCATAACTCCTCATATTATAATCATCATCACAAAGAGGTGGTTCAAACGAATCAGATCCACTTTGATTGGAATCACGTACTCCATGGGATAAGTTTGTCAATAATGCTTGAGGTAAAAAAGGACGATAAGCTTTGAGATTAAATAGAATTTTAGAAAATTCCTCCCTCAGTAAGTTACCTCCTAAAAATCCGAACCATGCATTACAACCTAGTTCGCTACGATCAAGAACTTTTTGCATCTTTTCCAAATCATAAGTTGATACATTAACAGCTAGTTCAGATACCAATTGTAACGTTTTTTGTAATTGATTTATAGAAAATAGACTCACTCCACCAAGGATACAAATAGAAACAACTACAATTACAATACATATCATAATTTGTAGTGCATTTTGTTCATCAAGGCCTTTTACAATTGGAGTAGTATATGCAGCAAAAAACGTTCGGTGGCTTAAATTTTCGCCTAAAATATCCAAAAAAGTTTGTATAGCGATCACGTAACCATCATGTTCCATCACCGTAGCACGATCAATACCAGGATAGTGTGATAATCCAAAAGTTGAATTCCGAGAGGATTCTAACAGATCTACAATACCGTCTAGAACATCACCTCCATTTTTCCCACAACCAGCTATTCTAGTTAAGTTTTTTAGATCCACACCATCTGGATCAAGACTTTTACAAGGAATACCAGTAGGATATACTTTACTTCCGTAGGAATAGGCTAATATATCTCCAGTTGTATCAAAAATCATGGCATAACTTATATCTGCTTTATGCAAACTTTCATCAAATATTCGAAACCAATTACTAGTATAGCCACTCGCTGTAGAGATAATGTATCGATCACCTTTTACCCATACTCTTTGATAAGTTAACGTAGAATGCAAACTTCCATCAGAAGATGTTGATACACCTGATTCAAGGTAATAAGCGCTTTGATTATTCTCTAAACGAGTGAGATTCACTGGATCACCCACAAATTTTTTACTACCTAACCAAGACATATTTTTAACGGCTCCATATTCATTTATACCTACTTCATATACTTCCTCCATACCTTTAGTGGCAGTACGGTAATAGCATTTCCTTTCTCCTCCACGTAATGGCTGACAAGTGTATTCTAAATACACACCATCTGGGCAGTTTCCACTTGATACAAGATCTGGGGTACAAAAAGGTATATAAACACCATAACGATCAACTCCTGTTGTTCCCCTAAATGCAAGTGTGGTGTACGTAAAAAAGGTCTCATTATATGCATCCAGCATTTCATCAGATGTTGAGAAGTTTGTTCCCATATAATCTATAAAATTTAAGAGTGATAAAGAGCCTGATTTCAAATCATTCTGTAAAGAATGAAGAACACCAACAGAACTATTTAAGACAATAGAGTTCTTGACTGATAAAGCTGCTCGCTGATTACGCATATTGTAGTGATATCCAACAAAACCGGTAGCAATTCCTCCAGCAACTCCTATTAGTACAGAAAATATCAACAACAGAATACATATAAAACAATTACTTTTCTTCACATCCTTTAGCCCTTCAGTAGGTTCCTTCTGTACCAGACAAGGTATTTCTCTTTCCGAAGAGATAATATTCGCACCACTTTGATTATAAAAAGTACCTTCTTCAATATCCATAGAATGTGCCTTGTACTCCCGATCTCTTGTCACAGGATCTACTTTATCACTAATGAACTTGATTCTAGGAGAGTTGAAACCCTTCTTTCCCAATAAAGACTGTTCGCTACTACTTAACAATGGACCAGATAAAACGAGTGGATTGGGTTGAATATTCGTCATCTCTACTGCATCCGTACTAGAATGCGGCACTGTACCCACACCCTCTCTATTCTCATTTACTCGATCCACTCCCGAACATCCCATTGGTGAAGATGGGCAATATTTTTTTATTTATCAAGCAAAAAAGAAACGTTCCTTTTTCGTGTTTTGCTTGATTTTTTTATCTTTTTAAAAAAAGACTAAAAGAAAAGAAAAAAAAAGAGACATACTTAATATAATATAACTCATACATTCCGAACGAGCACAAACACAATGTTTACCATCTTTATTATTATTATTTTTCTTTTAATATCATATCTATTCATAGTAGGCAAAAACTTTGGCACAAAATGCAACTATCACTGTCGTTCCAATTAAATCCGCAACTTGAAAAGAGAAAAGATAATCAAGGGAATATCACTCAACTTACACTTCCTCTCCCACATACCCATGAAAAAGAAAGAAACAAACAAACAAACAAAAAAGATGATTTACACCCCTCTTCATGTTAAAAAATTCCATTTACTCTTACTCCTCAAGAGTGCCTTACATGTAATTAGGAGAACATTTCCAATCTGTCCAAAAAAGCAGTGGAACCCACAGAGAACAAAGGACAAAACAAGAAAAAAAAAATAATAATATTCCAACAATCTCTTCAAACATCATCATCATCATTATCATCACCATTATTATTAGACACACCATTTTATCTATTCCTAAGACGTCACTTGTTTTGGAATATTGTGTTGAAAGATGAGATGACCATGCGCGTCCATCGCAAGAACAGTAATGATATCATGATCCACCAGAAGAGCCGTGGCACCAATACCAAGATGATTGTACCCCAACGGACGCCTTGGATGAACGCTACCTATCAAACCATTTGTAAATGCTGCCGATATTAATTGATAATATCCACCATCCACACGATGTAAAAATACACCATGTAGATGAGCACATACTAACAAATCCACCTTGTGGGCTTTAAGTATAGGATGTATAGACCCAGTACTTCTTGGAAAGTGATGTAAGGTCACGAAATCAAATATGGGTTCATGTGTCATGACTATCTTCCAATGGGCTGTACTTTTGGCTAAAGTTTTATTAAGCCATTCTGCTTGTCTCTTGTGAAATTTCTGCGAAGTCTGTAATTCATATGGATTTGTAGAGAAGACAAATATTTCTATGGTAGTCTTTCCACTTTGGAGAACACCACTATTGTAAAAAGGTGAAGGGAATGTCCAATGCATTTTATTACGATATAAAAACCGTGGATGTTCATCATGATTTCCACTTGTGGCGTAATATTGAATACGAAGTTCAGGAAATCTAAGAAATTTCTTGTTAAGATCTCGATTAAACCGTGGATCACGAAAAGATCTAATACCATTTGGGTAAAAATTGTCTCCAAGAAAAAGTCCTAACTTTTTTCGACCACAGTAGGTGGCATTTACTAGTGTCATGCTAAGGGTACATGATACACACATAGAGAGAAAATCACCAAAGCAACCAATTGGCAAAATAACAAAATCGTATAGTTTAGTCTTTGGAGTACTTATATTCGCATTCTTTATTTCCCCATAGCAAGAAAACAATTTTTGAACAGAGGCTCCTCTACGAATCACGTGATCGGCATTCGTTAATGTGATAGATTGATCATTAGGAAAGATTGAAGACGCTTTCTGACGTCCAAGTGAAAGGTATGAATTCCACTTTCGGCTCTTGTGAAGATCTCCACGTGGTATTGTAATAGATATGGTCTCGTTTAACTCTTTTTCATCATAGATGTACTGTGGATAATATATAAAGAATATGATAAATATAATAACTATCATGCATAAGAGTAAAAAGAGACGCCTCAATGTGAGTATTTGTAAAGGAGTTAACCAACGCCTACGTGAAACATTTTTTTCCACATTAGAGAAAGACTTATCTGGAGATTTTCTGGAAGTGATATCCATTGATCTCGTACACAGACCGTAGATGCACAAATTTCCTTTCTCTGTGTTCACAAGAAAGAAAAGGAGAGAGAGAGAGAGAGAGAGAAACAGAGAGTGAGGAATAATAGAGAGGAAACAACAACAAGAACAGATCAATAATGAGAAAAAAAAAAGAAAATACACGTAAGTATATTGACTTTCTTTCTTTGTTTTTTTTTCTTTTTTTTTCTTTGAATTCCCGTGTTTAACTAAGATTCACATTCAAGAACACTTCATATTTTTTTCTTACTTCTCAGTTTCTACAAGTATACTTGTGTGAATCTTGTAACTTTCTTGTCAATTCCTTCTTTTTTTTTCTCTCTTTTTGTTTACCGCTATCAAAGTCCATTTACACTGAGTAGATGGAAAGAAATATACTCATATAGATTGCCACTCTTCAATTTTTTTGTGTAGTAAACAATTCTGAGGAGAATCTGCCAATTGTATACGAGTCGATAATCCATTACTGCCCTCCACATGTTCTACACATATATCATGAAGAGATTCCACACGATAACAGAGTGAACGTCCACAGTAACCAAATGGCTGCACGTGATCATCAGATGAAAGTACATTAAACCATGAGAGTATATGAGAGAGGGTCCATGGCATTTTATGAGTATTTTGTGTTCCTGCTGTCATTAAAGCATTACCGCCATGTTCTTCTGAATCTAAACTATCATCTGTTACTATATTCTCACCTGTGAGAAACTTAAAATACAGTAATGGTAATTGTTTTTCCACATCACGACTTGTGGTTTGCGTGTTCTTGTTCTTATTGTTATTATTATTATTAGTGTTAGTGTTCTCTGATGGGTTAAGTGTGAGAGGTGGGGGCTGCTCTGCCCCGTCTTCCTGCGTGTGTGCAAACCGCAGAGATGGTGTGAGAAATCCCTGCATGGGAATACTTAACGCGGCGGCCTCATCACTGCAGAAGGCGAGATCATCTGCGATCATATTTTCACGGTAGAGAAATTGACTGAGTTGACGCCGTGTGATGCGTTCAAAGCCAACACCAATCACAGCAGAGAGAACAAAACTGCCACTTTGCAAACGTACTTTCTTCACAATACCATCACGAACATCTAATACAATAGAGGGTCGCATAAGTCCATCATAATAACTCTGCAAGTAAAAGAGAGGCACAAGATACTTGGAAACACGAAAGGATTGTTGAGCTAGTGGTACAGCCACATAAGGAAAAGGAGAGGGAAGTGCACCAATACTCTCAAACACTCGACAGAGAAGTAATGGCATAGGGGCAATATCTGCAGCTCGCATTTCATTTTGCATCCATGAGAGAATAGACCATGAACAACTGAAATCTGAATTTCCCAAAGGTGTTGAAAGTAACATTTGTAGTAAATGTGTACCTTGTTGACGTTCAAATACCATATCACATACAGAGTGAAGAAGACGAAAGCGAAGACAATCTAAAGTATCTCCTAAGAAAGTAAGCACCAAACTCGCTATTTGTGGTACTGTAAACCATGATTGTTGAAGTTGTTGAGCAGCACGTCTAAATAATGCCTCATTTTGTTCTGCAAATTTTCCTGGTAATGTAAACGCTACTAAATTGTTTTCTTCATTCTGAGAAAATGGATTAATTGATGAGGATGTTGTCATGAAATAACGAAAAATATTATGATTACGTTCAATACGTCTCACAGTTTTTGTATTATTATCCCAAATAGGAATTGATGGCCATCCACTAAAAAATTTACCCTTATACATTCGAAGCGGTATGTAAGGACTACGCTTCATGTCAATTGATATTTCGATAATACTGAGAGAGGAAATAGAAACATCACCAGGATCATCCACACATTGATACCAACAACGATTTCTTTGATTTTCAAATGCTCTTGCAAGAGATTCTTCCCAATTTTCCTGTTTAAGTGTTGCTGAAGAATGTAAAGGTGCCACAACGTAAAGACCTAGTCTTTTATTAAAACTATCATCATCATACATACTTTCGCTACACCTAAACTTTTCCCGTAATATTTTACTTTCCACCTGAACCAATGAAAGACCTAAAGAAACAAGATTATGCATGGCAGAAAAAATCTTTTGTTTAATCGCAACACCATAAGGACTTGAATCTTCATCAAAGAAGACCACAACTTCTTTAGACCTCGTAAAATTTAATGGTAATTTCACTGGAATAACATCCATACAAACTGTTTGAGGAGGTACAGGTGGTACACAATCCAATAATTGCTTCGAAAGACTTTCTTGAATATTCTTTAATCCATCTTGTGTGATATGTAAACCAACTACATACTGATCTACCAAGTCATCATGACGTACAATAGTATTTTTCCCATCTCCTATAGGTGGAGTAGAACCATCAACATTTCGTTTTGGAATTTCATGAACACCAATAAGAAGTTTTCCCTCTCTGTAGGCATTAAGAAATCCACACAAAAAACGTACACAGTTGTAGTTTACCTCACTCACCGTGTCGAAGATATAACTTTTATAATCCAACATGGATCCTTCAGGTCTTGATAAGCGTATCATCCAAGGATAATAGCGAGATTCCCCTTCCACACCTTTGCTACAGTTCTTCTCTCTATTTTCTTCTTTTTCTTCCTCTTCCTTTTCCTCTTCTTCTTTTTCTTCTTCCTTTGTTTCTATTCCTTCTCTTGGATGAATACATATAGTCAAACGTTGATCTAATAATGCGTGATGAATGGGTAATCGTGCGGTCATGGTACACGCCTCTCGGAAAAAACCCTCATAAGCCTCAAAACTTGGAATACCTTTGCGTGTTTCCAAGTTATCAAGTATACGTGTAAATAACTTTCGCTCCTCCCAGCGGTGTTTCTCATCTTTAGGATCTATCACATCAAAATGTAGGCGATGCATGGTATTACGAAGAATAAGTTTTAAATATTTAGTTTTTCTAATGCCATTTTTAAGGTAGACTAATACTTCCATCTTGCTATCAAAAATAAATTGTTTCAATATATTTACGGATGAACTTCGCTGAACGGTTGGACTATTATTACTATTACGACATATCTTTACTTCTTTACTCCCATCCTCTGTAGTCCCTAGTTCACTATTACGATGTAAATCCATACCATCTGTTAATAATTCATCAAAGAAACTTTCACCACAGTCAGAGTGTAAAATATCCGCAATGTAAGACTCATCCGGTGCATCTGTGCGAAGAAGCGGTGGCCACATCTCTGTTGTTAAGTACCGAATCATGCGAATCTTCATATCCACCGCACCTTCTTCAACTCCCAACTTCTTTGTGCCTATCATATTCTTTCCCAAATATAATACGGCAACATGTGCGGAGCTAAAAAAGAGATAATTCATTAATGCCGGTACAACAATACGAGCCCGTGCGAGTAATTCCTCCACAGCGGCCTCACCGGTTCCTTTTGCGTTTTGGTAAACAATAACAGTCTTTTCGGGACTGTGGCATCCATGCAATTTCGCCCACGGCGGCGGTGGGACGGCTGTGTTACTACTCAACACTTCTTTAGTCATCCAATGTATAGAGAGAGAGACAGAGAGACCTTACACACATATAGGTCTTAAATAATAGCAATAATAATAATAATAATAATAATAATAATAATAATAATAATATATGAATATATAAAGATATAAAGTAACCCTTCCACCCTAGAGTTTTGTTAAGCAAATAATGCTTCTGCCTTCAGCGGATCTAAAGAAGAAAACAAAGGGGGGGGGACCCCAATGTATGCATTAGAAATAAATGAAAAGAAAAGCAAGACAATTTATCTATATATCCATTCCATCTGCAGATATCATGAGTAAAGAAAGAAAGTGGTTCGATTTCAACATGAATAAGAAGAAATAAAAACAACCAAGGGTACACTGAAAAAGGAAAGAAAAGAAAGATAAATATATATATATATAAAAAAGGAAGGGAAGGGACAAATGGTAGGAAGAGAGAAACGCCAAATTCTCAGCTTCCTCTCACATCCCTCATCCCCTAACCACCAGTGGTAGAAAGGGGAATACGCAATAATAATAATAATAATAATAATAATAGTGATAAGTAAAAAAAAAAAAAAAACATAACTAAACGTATGTGATTTGCCTTCGTTTTGTAGCAGATTCCATTTGTACACTTGTAAGTACGCCTGGATTTACAATTTAGTTATTTTTTCTTTGGGTTATTGTTTTATTTATTTTTCATTTCATGGACTTCTTTCCACTTTTTTTTTTCTTTCAAAAGACAGAACTGCAAAAAAGCAAAAAAAAAACAAACAAACAAACAAAATGCAACAAGTAAACAAAAACAAACAAAAAAAAATGGATATTATCGGCACAAAGAAAGAACGAGTGAAATGAGTGGGAAACGCAGAGTCCTCTACTGATGCGTTCACTTTACAGAGGAACAAACAGAGAGAGAGAGAGAGTCCGCGTTTCTTCTCTTCGTAAATACAGCAAACACGCACACAAATACACATTCTCATAGTGACACAATTTATAAAAAAAAAAAAAGGAAACGTCCAGAAACAAATCATCAAATTAAGAAGAAAAAAAGGGTCAAAACAAAGAAGAAAAAAAAAGAAAAAAACGTTTTATTTTTATTTTTATTTTTGGTTTACAACATATACATATATATAAACGAACAGAAAGAGAGAGAGAGAGAGAGACATTAAAAGATAAAGACATGCACACAAATACGTTAACGAACGAAAAAAGAAGAAAAAAAAAAAACAAAAAACAAAAACAAAAAACATGAATACCGAAATACATAATTATTAATCCCATTCTCGTTTTCTGATCATATCGATCTCATTTTGCACCCAATATACGTTTTCTTTTACTTCAATGTTCACACAGAGAATGTCTTTTTATATTTTTAGTTCGCTTTCAGATGTATTTTGCCCCTCTGGCGCTGGGAAACTATTTTTCATACAAAAAAAAAAGAAAAAAAAAAGATTTATATATATATATATATATACCATACGATCACTTCCCTTTTTTAAAATATCCTCCCGGTTTAATAGAGTGAAACAAATCAAAAAAAAAAAAAAATTCCGTGCTCTGTTACTGTAAAAACAATCCTTTTACTTTGTGCCAGTGGGGAATGTCCGCGATGCTCCCTTGTCTGTGTTGGCTACTCTGTTATCACTTAGTGATAGATTGGTTGGGGCAGTACCGAGATTTGATGTGATACTAGATTCACCAATGAGTAGGCTCTTTTTAAGCTTTTTGTTGTTGTGTGCAATAGCTTTATTTCGAAGCCGCTCTAATAATTTAGATGCCACATCAAATCCATGCATGCCACTCTGACAGGATACCTTTACATCCACCAATTGCTCTTCTTCCTTAACTTTGTATATCTTTACCTGTAGCTTTACACATGGATACATCACCGCTGAAAAATAGTACGGATGAATACTTTTCCACAACAGACCTTCTTCTTTCATCGCATTATATACATAACGCAATGTGGTAGCAGGATCACTTGAGGAAAACAAAACACCATTACGGATAAAATCATTTCCAAAACGGGCCACTATATCACAATGAAGTACATCTGGTGTTTTAGGAGTTGAGAATGGAATAGTTTTCCCACGTAAGGTGGTAGATTTCTTACCCTGTCCACCACCACCACCACCACCACCACCACCTCCTCCTCCTCCTCCTCTTATTCTTATTCTTTCCCCTTTAGAAGCCGCAGTGAGTAATGAACTCTCACCACCAACTGATCCACAAGTCATATCTCCATCATCTGTTAAGGGTTTAAGAAGCGGTTGCAAAAGATTTCCACCACCCGCTCGACCACCACCAATATTACTACCACTTCCACCACTCTTTGTTAATCTAGATGGTGACTGTGAAGGAATTTGATTCATTAATACTGAAATTGGACGTTCAATAACTCCCAAAAACCTTCCTAATAGTGTATGTTTGGATTGAGATCGATAGAGTGGGAGAAATGCTTCTGCTAATCTATTATACCCTTCCATGTATGTATCTATATTAGATTCTGTTTCCTTTGATTCTGCTTGTACATGAACAGGTAGTGAACCACAAAATGTAATATCTCCATCCTTTTGTGCTCTTATACATTCATGAGGATTTTTTTGAGGAGGCGGTTGAGTTCTAGAACTGGAAGCCAGTCCCATAGATATTTGCTGTAATGAATTGGCATTAACAGAACCGTATCCCTGACTCATTGATAAAGTTAAAATAAAAGAACCAGTAGCTTCAGAGCGGGCATCCATATGAGATAAATGCTCGGGAGGTAAAAGACTTTGTTTACGACGAAGCAAGATAAGATAGGCTACATATACATCATGTTCTTCTTCACGAAGTGCTTGATCTGCAGCAGGGATAACTAGTGGTGCTGGCCATAACTTTGCATCTACTACATTTGCATATTTAGTAAAAAATTTTCCTCCTGGATAGTGTCTCCTTCCCAACGTTCCATCACATACTTCAGGATCAAATAGTAAAGATTTGGTCTTTTCATGTTCTGCTACTATAGAAGCTGTTTCTTGAAAGGAATGCCTGTAACATTTAGCAACAGATGCAATTACCTCATCATCCAGCATATCATCATCAAACTCTATTGATTTACCAAATCGCATCGTATCAAGAATAGCTTCATAGTGTAAAGTGAGTAAATATGGAGGAAATGCCGGTCGCAGCCATGGATGCTGCATCACTTGCTCCATCGTTGCCCGTTCCAATGGGTTTACAACGATCATACGCTGTAGGAGATCTCGCACCTCATCTGAGAGACCACTCGGTATAACGTAATTTGCTGTTTGAATCTTCTTAAAGAGAGTTCCAACATTTGTGTCATCAAATGGAAGCGCCCCGGCCACCATAGTGTAGAGAACCACACCGCAACTCCACACATCCGCCTCTGGTCCGGCGTAAAGTTTACCGCTCACGATCTCTGGAGAGGCGTAATTGGGAGTTCCGCAGCTGGTCTCAAAGAAACAACCATCATGTGTGATGGAGGCTAAACCAAAGTCGCCAATCTTTATAGTGGATGAACCCTGTTCCATCATGATATTCTCCGGTTTAAGATCACGATGAGCCACACGGTATCTATGACAATACGCCACTCCAGCTACAACCTGCTGAAAAAGATGTCGGGCAACACTTTCATCTAATCGTCCTTTACTGCAAATATAATCAAAGAGTTCACCTCCGGAAACGTACTCTAGTACAAGCACAATATCATGTTTGGTCTGTACAACATCATAAAGACACATAATATTCGGGTGACGAAGTACTTTTAGAATTCTTATCTCTCGTGTAATTTTAATATTCGATCGTGCATCCTGTTCCATAACTTTTCTAGGAATAACTTTCAATGCCACTTTTGAACGTGTCGCCTCATGAACGGCTAGTTTCACTTTACCAAACGTACCACGTCCAACTGTCTCTCCAACTTGATAGGGACCAAATCGTTGAGTCATCTTTTCTCTGTTATTCCTTTCGTTTTCACTTTTTTTGTTTTCCCTTAAACCCCTTGCTGTTGATGTTATAATCGTTTTGATGCGTTTTCTTTTTTGATGTGGTTGTTGTTGTTGTTACTTTTTCCCACACTCCACTTGGTACCCTCACTCCCCTTCTAATATCCAACCCCAAATGTATACACGAAATCCCCTATTTGTTTTTTACTGTATATATATATATATATATATTATAATAAATATGTCTGTTATGTTCAAACAGTCCCTCTTTTCAGACTCTGTATATCCTCACAGACGTACCACACAGTCACTCACTTACTCACACTTACACTCCTTACCACGTGTGATATTGAATATTCCTTTCTTCTCTACGCTTCACCACACGTGCAAAAAAAAAAAAAAAGAGGATGTCGTCGAGCCAAAGGAAACGGTAAAACTCGCTTACCCACTTCCCTTTAATAGTAATAATAAAGGAAGCAGTAGTCAAGTCAAGTCTAGTCTTGGATTTTTTTTTCTTCTTCTTCTTCTTCTTCTTCTTCGGCGAGCCTATTCCTCTCTCTTCCTTTTGTAGCCTTTTTTTTTCTTTGATGGAAAATATATCAGCGTATATGTATATCTTAACGCGTTTCGTGCTCTCCTAATAATAATAAAAAAACGGCGTTAAAAACCACCAAAGAAAAAAAAGAAAAAAAAAGAAAAGAAACAACGATAGCAACAATAACTAAGAATAATCAAATACACTTCAACAGTTTTTTTTTATTTTTTCATATGATTGCTTCTATTCAATCAGCAAAAAAAAAAACATGTAAACGCATAGACACACATACAGACGCATAACATGCATTACACAAACGGACACAAAACTCTCACGTCCTCATGTACATTCATACGTGTTTATACACGGGTACGCATGGATGTATGCATATATGAACACTCCTTAAAGGGGAAACAAAAAAAAAAAAAAAAGTTTCCTTGGGTGGTTATACCTTAAATACTCC